GGAGCAGTTTATGCTGAGCCACATCCATCACATTTGCCCTTCACGTTGTCATATTGCATTGTACTATATACGAGTACTAGCGGCCGCCCGCGACTTACGTACGTATGGAGTTAGCTTTTTGCACATACTTTTTGACCCCTGTTCACTGCTGGTGCCCCGTAGGTGATAGCGTGATAATATGTAGCTTAAATATTGACCCAACTTCTTAATAATATTCGTGGCAAATTTAAAGTAAATCCATGCAGTACTTTTTGAGTTTATCCCGGACATACATACAGATAAACAGACAAAAATTCTAAAAACTATATTATTCGCTTCGGTATCGATTGTAGGACACACCCCAAATATTCTTTTAAAAAAATATTCAATGTACAGTTTTGACTTTTCTGCCATTTTATCAAATTTTAGATTGAACTATGCATTACTCTGAACAATACAAATATTTCTATTAAAAAAAAGTATTTAATTGTTAAAAAAAACTGTTAAGTAAGAGACTCCCTAATGAGGCTACATGTATTTTCTAGGTGTTACCAGTCTTAACACAAATTTGATAGTCAGTCAACGTGACATCAACCAAGTTGTATTTAATAAATCCTTAAATTCCGATCTTGACCCGTCAAGAGTTAATCAAATTTGAAAAGTACGAAACAAACAAGCAATAATTGATAAAGCACATATAAAAAATAATGGCATCGCTATAAAAAATCATGCCGCAAAAGGAAACGGGACGGGCATGGCTCAACGGGTGCCATTGTTCCTCGCGATGACATCATGGCGGCGCGCGAGGCGTTTGGAGAAAAACATCTCCGAGTCGCGTGTTATCCTGTGGGTCTGTGGGTATACGATGGCTGGCTGGCGGCAGAAGGTCGAGTTTGAATCACTGCCTCATAACTAAATACTCATTGTCCGACGATTTGATTGCTGACGTACCAGGGCCGCACCGTGAGTTAAGGGGGCCCTGGGCTAATAGTACTTAGGGGCCCACCTAATTACTCAAAGTATAGAAAAAAATGACAGTAAACTATTTAATTTAAATTATAATATATTAAGCCTTAGTGTTATACAATCGTTAATTAATGGACAAATTACAAAGAAACCTTTCTACAAAGTGCAGAAATGGCAAATTCCTTAATTTGCTCCTCCCATTATAGGGGTAATATCAATGGAGTTATATTCAACAATGTATTTTTAGGGCCCCTTGAATCCACGGGGCCCTGGGCTGAAGCCTAAAAAGCCATATGGTAGATCCGGCCCTGTGACGTAGTGTTATTTTATAAAACATTATGTTAAGAATGTAAATCAAATATGAAATAGTTTTTTAGTAGTTGAACTCCTAAGATCTGATGCAAAAAATACTGATCTTTCATTTCAATTTGCAAAATATTTGTCACATTGAAGTGAATTCATAGGCATAAAGTTAAGAGTACATGGGTATTTTAAATGTTATCGATATCCTCAAAAATGTCTTTACAATATGTACTTATTCTTTAAACTTAAATTGAAAGTCTAATATTAAGTATGTAATGGTGTCGATTATGGCATGATTCTCTAAACCTACGCTTATATTTGACAACAGTGTATCCTTGTCATTCTCTATACAGAATGAAAAGGAGAGACTGATGTTAAATTTGAGAATCTTGCCAGAATTGACACCAATAGGTAGATAAAATAATGTACCTACTTGCTTTCTTTAGATTGCAGAAATATCGAGTGAGGTGGGTCGTTAATCACAATTCGTCGTTAATTATAATTGTATAAAATTTCAGTATTACGAATAATATATATATCGACCGCTCTGTCAAGAGCGTACCGGCTAAGAAGATATATTTATATATTCTTTATTGCCAAAATACAGTAAAGCGCGGACTTAATGCCATAGACATTCTGTACCAGTCAATCAGTATGGGTGTATGAGACGGATGTTTTGGCAAAAGAGTGCGAGCTACTCAAGTTAAAGAAAAAAAAACCTACTGAAATATACTACTACATACTTATACTATAAAACAATAAATGTATATTATATATAAATACATATACATATATTAATTAATAAACATACATAATTATATATATAGCGACATACCAAAATAATGAGGTCATTTTATCTCACGTCATGTGTACTGCATTTAAACATGGTAGATATTCACTTGATCCATAAATATAATAAAACTAGCAAACCAGTGAACCAAATGTTCACCAAAAAAAAATGTATTTAATTAATTGAGAACTTCGGAGACTTTGTGTGGTTTCGTTTGAAATAGAAATCACGTGATTTCTCGAAAACCGGAAGTGCTACGTTACTCACATCCGGTTTGTAGTCTTATCAGACTATTCTTAACTTATAACTTAAACATTCTCTATATCTATCTCTTACGGTTTGGCCGCTGAAACAGCACCACGGACGGACGGACGGACTTGTCTATTAGATAAGAGATTCCTTACTGTTTTGCCCAATATACTGTGGTTAAAATAAAAAAAATATCACTTACGGAAGCCTCGTAATTACTTACAGAAGATAGGTTGAATCATGCTTGCAAAAATAACCCATTGGTGAACAATTCACAATAAAAACGTAATTGTTAGGAGCAGCTTCAATAAATAGGGAGGGAAAACGAATACATTAATAAACAAAAACGGCGTGTGTACAGAGTACGCATGGCAGAAGTGAAATGAACTTTCATAATAATAATTATCATCATCATCAGCCTGTTAATGTCCCCACTGCTGGGGCACAGGCCTTCCCTATGGATGGAATAGGGAGATTGGGCCATGACCCACCACGCGGGCCCAGTGCGGATTGGTGGGTGCTAACGACTGCAAATGCAGCCGGGACCAACGGCTTAACGTGCCTTCCGAAGCACGGAGGAGCTCGAGAGAGTAAATTTTTGGTCACCCATCCAATGACCGACCACTGCGAAAGTTGCTTAACTTCAACGATCGCAGCCGAACGCGCTAGCCACCTGCGCCATCGAGCTCCTCAGAATAAGAATAATTATAAAAGTATATATTAACATAATTACATAATGTAAAAAACACAAAAGAATAAAAAACAAAAAATAACAGTTTTTTAAAATTGAAAATCGTCGTACTAAAATCTGATTGTCAAATCGTGACGCGGCCTTGAAACGCTACCCTCATGCACGCAACGAAATTTCACTTCAAAAATGTTGTAGCTACAGTTTTGATCTTAGAACCCAGAAAGAGATTTCAATCATGTGGGATTTCATCACCTAAGGGCGTTTAGAGAAATCATGTCTTAGCAAAGCTTTTTATTGTTAGTCAACTCGAAGGTAATTCAACAAATAAAAAAATAAAAAATCATTCATAAATGCACTTAGATTAATCTCCTTTAGAATGCTGATGATAAATTGGTAATGATTAAGACTCCTTCCTGTAGCATTAATTCAAAGCAATTCATAAAATATTGCTTCTAACTCTACCGATTTACCGGTGCCAATCTAACAGTTGATTTGACTACTGACAAATTGCTCATCATTCAAGAATTCAAGTATAAATTGATATAAATGATATTTTTTTCTACTCTATCACAGCACAGTGAATGCCAATTTGAATCATCTTTAGACCGCACTGGATGTTTGAAATATTCCGATGTCGAGTCATGCAGTCTTAAAAATATTGCGACGAGAAATAAATAAATGGTGTTTACTATAATTATCATTACCAGTGGTCGCCTATAGGCCGAAATGTTTAGTTCTTCAACATCGTCTTCTGTCTAAATGTGTTTCTATAAATAGTTGTACAGTAACAGTATGATAATATAATATGACTAGCGGCCCGCCCTCGCTGCGCTTCGGTGTAGAGCTGAAGTGTAGACTACAGTTTTTGTTCTCAGGCTTGTGTTATACACAATGACATTCATCTATGATTCTTCTTATACCTGCATGCAAAGTCTCAGCCCGATCGGTTTAAAATTGACAAAGTTTCATACAAACTTTCATTCCCTATTTTATCCCCTTGGGGGTAGAATTGATCAAAATCCTTTCTTAGCGGATGCTTACGTCATAACATCTACCTTCATGCCAAATTTCAGCCCGATCCGTCCAGTGGTTTGGGCTGTGCGTTGATAGATCACTATGTCAGTCAGTCACCTTTGAGTTTTATATATTATTAGTCGCGGCACGAAACTCTAGTGCTGACCGTTATTGCATAGAAGTAAAAATTAAGATGTGTTGGGGGGAAACGAGGTGCGCGGGTGGGCGTGCGTTGCGCCGATTGGCTCTCCAGTCGTACACATACGCAGCTATCCCTGACGCGGTTTGTTCAGCGCTAGACTGCCGCGACTTGTACGTATACGACGGTTAAAATACCACCCCAGAATCTATTTGTGCTCTTGAGACTTCAAACGTTGTTCTGCAGAAAGCAATCAATCTTTACATGCAAACTAAGTGTTATATTAGGTTAATAAACAGTAATCAAAAAAAATGATGTGGTGTCGTGGGACACCAGGTAGGAACGAAGTTCCTTCGGCTAATGTAGAATCGACACAAATTGCAAACTTGCTTGTGTATGCGACTGTCGCGCCTGCGCACGTCTCATTTAACGGTTTTATTCCACGCACTTTTTTCCACGGATTTTTTCTTACGGTTTTACTATCACATTTTTTTCAGTTCGGTCGCGCAGCAAAATCCCTATCCCCTCCAAGCTTGCCGTAAGGAATTTCGTTCCAAAAACAACATGCAACAAAACTGGTGAATTTGTGGATACAAATATGTAGAGGACACTCTGTGCACATCGCTGTTATTATATCAGCACATATGCAGCGCAGAATCTTACGAAACAATAACCGAACAAAAGTCCAAAGTTGTAGGCGTTAAAACTATAGGATAGGGCCATACCCATTTTGCCGAACCTTGAGTTGGCCGAAATGTTCGGGGAGGAGTCCTAACATATCTTCGTTGCAACCCCCGATAGAGTGGAAGGCGTCGCGCCTGTCCCAGACAAAACAAGGCGTTTAAACGATATTTTTTTATTGTTTTCAGCGGGTGATCCAAGCTCTGGGCGTGTCGTGGCACGCGAACCATTTCGTATGCGGCGGCTGCAGGAAGGAGCTGGGCGGTGGAGGTTTCATGGAACAGGTAAGACAATCTTGTCATTGAAGCGCTACTGATAGGACACAGGCCATATCCCACCAAATGCACAAAAGCCGATTAGTGTGTGTTACCAATACGTGCAAACGACGAAAACGGAACGGATTTATGAGCCTACCGAAGCTTGGGATAATGCATTATTTGCTCATAATTAAAATGATTTTTTTTTACAATATTGAGTTTATGACTTTTTCCAGTTCAAATTGATCATTTTGATATAACCAGAGTAGTCTAAAAGTGATACAACGAATATTCATTGATGGCAGCATAATCACTGTTACGGCTTTTAGTCTGTGATCTAAATTTGAGGTGCCATACTGGCCCTAAGTAAGATAGGCCACTATGGTTAAAAAATGAGTTAGGCAACTATGGTTCTCATGACCTCAATTATAAGTTTGATAAACCTTTAACATTTTTTCTCCACATAAGACATTTCTCCTTAATATCATGAGATATTTTCCACAAGGTCGGTTATAGCCTAGAACGTTTAAAGTTTAGTCTTTTTATGTAATAAATAAATTTCTGCAAACGCTTAAAGCTACACAGTTTTATTATCACGACAAGCAATGCGTTGCTTGTTACATTTCAATTTCGCGTTTCCTCTTTCCTTTAGCTAACCAATTTGCTCGTTGATTTATAACCATCAGGTTGCAACAAACCTTTGAACGTCGTGCTCGAACTTCGACTCTTGAAAGGGTAATTGAAACAACAGAACAGTTAGTTGTTCTGTCCCATATAAATACTTAAGCTATAGAGAGTAACACAGCCGACAAACGCGGCTAGGAGGGGAATAGCTAAATTTATTTATTTATTTATCAGGCATGCCAACATTTTTACACCCAACATAATTAAAAAAAAACATACGTTATACATAGAGTTGTGCAAAAACAGTTACAGGCATACACAACTCTTATTTCTGTCAAAATTAATGATATAAACCTAAACTAGGTATAAAACAAAACATACATAAAACTAAACTATAATCAAGTGCCACAATCAATGCTCGATAGCAAAGCCCTTCTAAATGCAATCAATGACGCAGCGAACAAATCAACGCCTACCAAGGACCCAGTACAGATTTTATTGTGTTCTTCACAAATCCTATTTAAAACACTGCGTACCCAGGTTGGTTTTATAAGTTTTTAAATTAAATAATTTATAGTTAGCTGGTCTGATATTTGATTTGGTCGTGGTATATTAAAACTAATTTCACTAAGAAGTTGAGGACAATCAATGTTACCTCTCAGAATTTTATACAGTGAAATCTGATCAACAACCCATCTGCGTTTCCGCAATGAAACCAACTCGAAATACTCCTAATAAATAAATTGACATAATACTACGATTTCAATAATACTACTGAAATCATTCTGCCGCTTTTTGAGGGGGGAGGAATATGCGTAGAAACATAGTCCAACATACTTTCGAAAAAACGAAATTGTAATTACGACACTCGCACATAAAAAATTACAGCGCTAAATCGGGCATAGATGAAGCTTAAGATTTTTTATTGACAGGTCTGAAATTTGTACTGGCGAGTCGATTGTTTTGCCAAACAAGTCCGACGATTGAATTTTAACAAAATAATAATTAGAATTTTGTGTTTAAATAGAGATAATATGTTAATAATTCTACTTTAATGTGAAATTTAACACCATCCTTTTTTACAACAAATTACATAATATTTTGGCATTTTTGATCTCTAACATACACTCGCTAGTTATGTTATATAGTTTTATTCATGAGCTGGCCAAACAGCAGGGGAAAATCGACAGAGGGGAACACTGTCATTCTCTATGACTTTAGCTTATATGCCCTTTAATATGAACTTTTCATGTTACATATTATCAACATTCTTCTTTAAATGGTTAAATTATTATTCCAGGCTGGACGGCCGTTCTGTTCGGCGTGCTACGCGGACAAGTTCGCGGCTCGCTGCAACGGCTGCGCCAAGCCCATCGTGGACAAGGCCATCATCGCGCTAGACGCCAAGTGGCATCGCGAGTGCTTCACTTGCAATGTGAGTACTTCAGTTGGTTTATAAAGCAACCTTTAATACAGCCCTCCGAGCCCATCGTGGACAAGGCCATCATCGCGCTCGACGCCAAGTGGCATCGCGAGTCCTTCACTTGCAATGTAAGTACTTCACTTTGTTTATAAAGCAACCTTTAATACAGCCCTCCGAGCCCATCGTGGACAAGGCCATCATCGCGCTCGACGCCAAGTGGCATCGCGAGTGCTTCACTTGCAATGTGAGTACTTCACTTGGTTTATAAAGCAACCTTTAATACAGCCCTCCGAGCCCATCGTAGACAAGGCCATCATCGCGCTCGACGCCAAGTGGCATCGCAAGTGCTTCACTTGCAATGTGAGTACTTCACTTAATTTATAAAGCAACCTTTAATACAGCCCTCCAAGCCCAGTCCATCATGAACAAGGCCATTATCGCGCTCGACGCCAAGTGGCATCGCGAGTGCTTCACTTGCAATGTGAGTACTTCACTTGGTTCATAAAGCAACCTTTAATACAGCCCTCCAAGCCCAGCCCATCGTGGACAAGGCCATCATCGCGCTCGGCGCCAAGTGGCATAGCGAGTGCTTCACTTGCAATGTGAGTACCACATTTAGTTTATAAAGCAACCTTTAAAACAAACCTTGAGCTTGCCGAGTGCTTCACTTAAATGTTAGTTGTATGTTCTTCACTTGGATATAAAGAAGCCCTTAAAAGTTGTCTGATAGTAATCGGCTATTATAAGACGCGTGGAATACCAAGATTATTCTAGATGAACGTATTCATGATGGAGCTCTAGCCATCTTACCATCAGCATTAAATTTACAAACTTGTAGAGATAATAAATCATGTTTTTTTACTATTTTTTGTAATATCAGCAATAAAAACACATATGTATTCTATAAAACAAAAAATACTGTATACCTGTATACTATAAATTCTAATCTATTCTACATCAAATCACTCTTATGGTTCATGATTATAAAGCCCACTGCTGGTGTCTTCCTTAGACACAATCCGCTTAAACCTAATGTTGTCTCTGTTTTCTATTTAGTAAACAATGATGCCAGCATAAATATTAGTCCAGGCTTAACTTTTATCTACGTTTTGTAATAATGCGGAATAAGTTCCTAAGTAAGCCTCCATATTTCCCATGTCACACCATAACTTCAAAACGACTTTACCGATTTCATCCCCCGTTTTTCGCAAAATTTTCTAATACTTTGTTGAAAGTTCTTACAGCGAAAAAAGAAGAAAGCTGCGCAGTTTCTTATTTTATCATGTCTGCTTGTTTGAAATTCAATCAACCCGATTTTAATGAAGAAATTAAGGTCATCCCAATCGTTGCCTTTCACGACGACCGAAGTACATTAATATAAGTTAATTTTGCTCCGTTTTCAGAAATGTCGCATCCCCGTGACAGATGCCACCTTCTCGGTGCTCGACAACAAGCCGCTGTGTGGCAAATGCGCCTAAACTGCAACCACCGAGCAAAACATATACCAAACTTATTTATCCGTAAAGTTAAGATTACAAGTGCACTTATCTATAAAGACGCATTAGTTACAAACCAAACGGGTTCACGTAATAATTGTAAAATGAATGACAAATGAAACTTTATTATAGCATAAAGAAGAGATTATTTATTATCACCAAGGAAACAGAACCAAACAATCCTGTAGAAAGAACTTTTAAAGAATTTGAAAATAAAGTCAACATGCACAAAAATAATGTTTGAATCGTATAACGATGTTTTGTACTTTATTCGATGTATTTTTATTGTTTTGAAAAATGTTGCAAAATGTGGTGATAAGAACTATGTTATATTTATCTTACCTTGACAGTATTTTTAAGAGATTTTTTCAAAGCGTTAAGTGCATTAAAGACATTTTTGTTGTAAATATTGTAATATTTTAAAGCGTCGCTGTGAAGCTTTGCAAACACTTATTTATTACGCTTCATTTATTAACTTTCATTTAAAAAAATAAATGCTAGAGTTATTTTTTGTATGCTTATCTGTACCATTTTTTAATAAATTATTTTCGTTATAATTTGTTTTTGCCATTTATAATGTCAGCAGCATCCAAAATAGAATAATAATATTCATAGATAAAAAAAAAAACTAAGGTCAACCAAGGCAATTTTAGCTACTTAAAATGTATTTCAAAATTGACTTGAACATTTTGATACTATTAATACAATTTAGCAAATATTTTTTTTTTCTTACACTTACTAATGATAATGTAGACGAGTTCAAATTATATCTATTATTATCAATAAATTAATTTTAAATTGAAGATATTCCATCCAAAAGCCGTCAATAGTCACATTTGCCCTCAATCAAGGGTAAAAGTAGCTAACTACGCGTATTTTCTTGTTGTTGTTGTTAACAATAAAGAAATATTATAAATTATTTAATTATAAATTATATAAGAATTGACATTTACCTCAGGGCCAACTTAAAGTTACAAATTTTATACTTCAACGCTGTGTTAGAATTGAATTTGCTTTAAAATTACTGTTATTTTTATTATACCATCAGGGGTAAATGTAATTTTACATTTATATTAGACATGTGGTTCGATAACTTTGAATGACCATATAATACGAGAAGAAACTGATATTATTAGGCACTATCACAATATAATCAATTAGACTAATATAAAATGTTAAAAATTTAATATCACAATAGGCACTACAATTACCCCACTCACTATTTTCGAAGGGGCAAACGTAGCCATCTCAAAAAACTTGACTTTACTTAAGAGTAGCATAAAATATATTCATGAATAATGACTAACCCTTAGTCATTTCACGACACAATGTAAAACATCTTCCAATATTGGGTAAAAAAAAAAAAAAGATATTGGAAAAATTTTTGACTGCGGTATATTTATTAGCTATAACATGAAAAAATGGCGGAATAATAATATATGACTCTATAAATAAAACAGTTTACGTGTAACAATCAAAATCTATTAATATGTAGATAAGAGCCACAGATGTAACTTATTTCAAAAACGAAACAGTAACGAGTTATTTAAAACTGCTACATTTGCCCCGTGGCCACTATAGTCCCGGGTGGTTATTTAGAAATTTTAATCAGTCAGAAACTTGAAAAATTACCTAAATTATAATTTCCGGCGATATTAAAGAGCGCCATTTATTTATTTATTTTTACATAATGCACACTAAATTTACTAAATCCCATCTGATGTTAAGTGTAACTAGACTTCAGTCACACCAGCAAGAAACTGCAGTTACTGACACGGGAGAAAATTTTGCTACTCCAGCCAGTGTTGCCAGGTCTCCAGATTTTACAGGAGATCTCCTGTTTTTCTGAAAGTTCTCCTGTTCTACTGTTTTTCTACATGAATCTCCTGTTTTTCTTAAAATACGATTTTCTTTTTTAAATTGCATGTTGAGTTGCATTTTTGCCCATTAATATGTACGTAACCTTATTAATTTTAAAATAAATGTTATTGTTTAAAAAATATTACCTTTATGGGGCGGCAGAAGCCACAGAAACACAGTCGTTGTCGTTACTGGTATTAAGTTTATCTTGAGTTGATTTACGAATTCTAGGGGGGGGGGGGGGGGGGGGTAGTTAGTTAGGAAAAAGTACGCCTCAGCATCTACTGTTTTTCTTGTATCTCTTTCCATACATCTACTGTGTTTTTCTATAACGCCTCCCGATTATTAAAAATCGGATCTGGCAACCCTGACTCCAGCCATCATCACTTTATCGGTCTGAGGCAGTTGTTCGACTGCCAGCAAGGAAGCGACTAACTCTGGCCGATTTTCTCGCTCAAGAAACGTACAATAGATATACATATCGTGTAAGCAAAAGAGATGCATATATTAATACTCGTAGTTGATCGCTAACTGTTTACACTGGCCGGCGAGAACTCGCTCCACCATACTTCTTTTTTGTTGACATGGAATGTAAATCGGTTCTATGTTTCTTGAGCGAGAAGATAGGCGATAGTTAGTTGCTTTCTCATCGGCTCTCGGACAACTGCCTGAACCCAAATTATAAAAAAGTCATACAACATTTTCAAAGCTTCTTTGAAAACACTATCTATCTTACTCTAAATACAATGTTTTGTGTACATACTTCCAATTGAATCTCCTAAACCTCCGTAGTTTTGAGAAAAGTAAGATCATCATTATCGTCATTATTAGCCTATCAGTGTCCCCACTGCTAGGGCACAGGCCTTCCCTATGGATGGAATAGGGAGATTGGGCGATGACCCACCACGCGGGCTCAGTGCGGATTGGCGGGTGCTAGCGACTGCAGATGCAGCCGGGACCAACGGCTAAACGTGCCTTCCGAATCACGGAGGAATTCGAGATAGAGGATTTTTGGTCACCCATCCAATGACCGACCACTGCGAAAGTTGCTTATCTTCAATGATCGCAACAGAACGCGCTGACCACTTGTGCCATCGAGCTCCTCATCTATCTAACTGTATGGTAGTATAATGTTTTGTGTAGGTTTTTTTTTATGTTATAGGTGGCATACGAGCTGACGGCTCACCTGATGGTAAGTGAACACCGTCGCCCATGGACACTTGCAACACCAGGAGTATCACAAATGCGATGCCAGCCTTTAAGGAAGGAATACGCTCTTTTTTTGAAAGTTTTTGGGTCGTATTGGTCCGGAAAACCCTGCTGGCGACAATATATTCCACAGTTTTGTCGTACGTGGTAAAAAATTTCGACAAAAACGCACGGTTGTAGAAAGCCACGCATCAAGATGATGGGGATGAAATTTTTGTCGCGATGTACGATGGCGAAATGCAGCAGCTGGAATTAATCCGAACAATAGGCTTGTGTCAACTAACAATAAATCGAATGGGTTATAGTTTCTAAATATGAATTATGATATACAGATAACAAAAAATAAAGCTATTTATCATAATAATTAAAGATTATTATTATTTTTCGAAAATAAATTCGAATAAAATAGGCATTAGATCACGTGACGGCAAACACCAATCAGAAAGACTGACGTCACCACGTGCAAAACATTACTTGTGGTTGCCGTTTCCATATATTTCATTGATATCTCATTCATGTTATTGTTACTTTGATACAATTTATCAGTTTGTTTTCTGATAAGTATTGAAAGGAAGCATAATAAATCCATGGAATTGGGATTTACCGAAGCAAATAATAATATTTTAACCAAAATAAAAAATTAATCGCATAACTACTCGACATAAATAAGCATATCATTTGGCAACTAGAACAAGAATAAGATGTGTTTATTATTATGAATAAATATACTGAACTCTCAAATAGACTCTAAATCATATCATAAAATTAAATCAACTTACCTAACCTCAACCTATTGTCATTGTTTTATCAATATAATGCAATATAATTTATCCGGCTTGTATAACATTTTGATTTCATTGATTATGTTATGCAAAATACTTACATCAAAATGTTCATCACAAAATTATTCTTGTATTTGTTGATAAACAATGAATAGGTAACATCCCTCCTTGCAAGTTCTAACCATTTTTTCCGCATTTGTGGCATATAAATAATTTGTCTGGCGTTTTATGCTTCTCCTTTTATACTAGGACACTATACAGTACTTGTAATACGATGGATTCATTTTTAACTAAATAATTTTAATAGTCGGCGTACAGCGTATTGTTTGCTTTGCACGGCGTGACGTCATTCTAGACGCCATGACAGTCTAGAGCGTTTTCGAGGGAAATTTGAATAAATTTTTTAAAATACAAAATACATATTGCTATTGTACTTTTTTTATATAAAATAATATTTTTTTGGGGTTAAATAAACATCAATGTATATTATTAACCACTTTTTAAAATATAGGCAACTAGCCTATTCCTCAGAACACTCTCCGTGATAAATGCGATAGAAGATGCAGAGCGATGCTACATCCCTACGCAAAGCCAAAGGATCAAGCTGATCGGAAAGGTCCTGGTCGTCGACGAACCAATCTATAATATAATCGAATAGGTACTTCCAATCGAATCTCGTACACCTCTATAGTTTTAAGAAAAATAAGATGCAATATCAATCAGCACGTGCTGTAATTTAATCATTAAATTTCCACTTACCTTCAATTCGTCTCTTTCTGTAGTTTCCACGTCTTCTCGAACTAGTCTCGGAGACTGCTTGGGCGGACTCTTCTTTTGGATTTCAGAAGCTTGAGTTCCCTCACTCTTTTTCTTGGTAGAGGACATTTTTGGAGAAATTTCAGCGTTGGACTGATCTTCGGGTAAAGATGCGATGCTGTTTAGGGTTGGTTGGAGTTTTGGACTGGGTAGAATGGGTTGAAGTTTTGGACTAGGTGGTTTTCGCGAGCTTATTGCCTTGGAGTTGTTCTTTATGGGTGAGGTTCGGCGAAGGTTTTCTTTCGGACTGCGTGGGGTTTGGTTCCTGCTGACAGGGGGAGTGGCTGTCTTGCTGTTCTTTCCTGATTGCCGTGGGCTGCCTTCGCGACTCATGTAACTCGAGGGGCACTGAACGAAACAAATTAAATAGCGATAATTTTTATTATTTTAAAGCATGTAACTGCTTGATGTTTAAATCTAAAGAAAATATAACTAGAAAAAAATCCACGCGGTCCACCTATAATGTGGGTTTCGCATTATAGCGAAGAGATGGCGCTGCCTTGCAGCTTAAGAATGGCTAGAGGAATTTCGACGCGGTCCGTGAGGGCCGCGGTAGCATAATTGGTCAGTGCATTCGCCCGGATTGCGAAGGGTGCGGGTTCGAGTCCCGTCAGCTGCCTGGTCCGCGTGGAATTTTTTCTAGTTATATTTATCTTTAGATTTAAAAATTATATAGTGATTTACTTTTTTATACGTGGTTG